TTATGTCCAGTGACAAATATTTCTCATGGTAATTAGGATATCACGTACTATGGACATAAACTCATGTCAAGTGACACTGTGTATTACTACTTTGAAATCCAACCAACAAACTGTCCAAAAAATAAACATTTTCATCATAAATAAGAAAKAAGTGCAAAATTGTAAATAACTTTTAACTTGTTTAATAGTTATTGCTAATGGCAAATATTATCTTACCAAGTTGTCAGGTGAGTCTGGAGCAAAATAGTGGAGACCAAAGAATTCTCTTTCTTGTAAATCTAAGTGGTTGAATACTTCATTCAACAAGACTTCTCCTTTAGAATCTTTCTGCTCAAAATAAATAAAAGGAAGTAAAAAATAAATAAATAAAAATGTGTGTGTAATTTAATGTTTTATTCAATATTGTATGTTAGAGCTCTTTCCAATTCCTCACATTGAATCATAGTTTTGTAAGGGTCTTGGAGGACATCAATCAAAGCGTTCTCAAACATTAACCGAAAAAATTTTTTTTGAAAGGCAGTTAACATGCCTATGGAATTGTCATGGAAATTCTGTGACTGAACATCAGCCAAAAACTACCCTAAGGGGGGTTCCTTGATTACAGACTCATTTGCACAGGGTTAGCCTYGTATCAGTGTTTAAATATTCACAAATACCAACWGAAAAGTAAAGAATGCACAACTTCAACAATACAAACATTTTGAAACTCGACAGACCTTGACTGGAACAYGTGAATATTCTTCACAAACTCRAGGCTAASCCTGTGCWAATGAGTCTGTGATYAAGAAACACAGCGGTAATTTGGAATTCAAAACGGGTCTATTTCATGCAAACTAAGACATATCCTGAAGTGACTACACATGCAGTGTATATAATCAGTGAGCTTCAGCATAATTTCAATCCAACACTGTTTGATGAAAATAAGACAAAAGACGAAAWCTTCAGACAATAGCTAATACAGATAAGAAGAAATGACTCAATGAGTTTTGCATAACAATAGCACTATCTAGAGACGTCAGAAAAACACAATATAGGAATCACAGYGGATGAACAATGTCATTATAGGGTTAGCATATATCAATACAAAGTCTTGATGGCCAATAAAAAAAAATATATATATATATATCCATTAATATATTTATAATCCTATTGTAAAAAGCATTGAAATTTTATAATTATTTGTTAAACAAAAGCACCAAATTATTATTATCATTATTATTATTATTATTATCATCATTACTATCTTAGTTGTCAAAGATTTTTTTCATTATACAATGTATAAGCAAATTATTTGGAAGTCTATGTTTGTGTTAGATAAATTATTATAAATATTATTTAAGTTTCATAGATTTACCAAACAGGAAAGCAATGTGAATAGGTTTAATGTCATATGAGGTTTAATTTCTTATACTCTTCTGATATATAATTAATGCAATTACATATATATTAATTATTAAACATATTATATGAACCCCTTCAATTATATGCATGACAAGAAAAGTACAGTTTTAAATTAATGTACATAAAACATGTTTTACGCAGAATTCTTAACACATTAAAGATTAATCGAATTTTGTCTGAAGGAATTTTGTACCATATTGTAAGACTATAGATTGAAATCAGGAAAATTGTTTTACAGAAATGGCAATTATTTAGTTTTGGGTCTTCTTACAGGATAAATAAAGTTCAAATCAAAGAGTACATAATAAAATGATTATTCTGTTTGCAATCACAGCTTACAAAATCTTAAAATCAGTTACACACAGTGGTTAATAAAATTAAATGTACATATATTTCATAAACATATATTTCGATACCTTTGAAAAAAATAATTGATTATCATCATAATTCTCAACAGATATCATATACRTACAATTTAATTCACTATCATAAATAAACTGTGTTTTAATTAGGAAAACTAAAGGAAAATATTTTTTACTATGTTATGAATAAGTGATTYTAATTACTTAACATGTGAAACAAAAACTACTTGTTCATGTATAATATAGTCAATATATAGAAACAAAGAAAGACAATACAATAAGATCTAGTAACCACTATTAATCTAGAATGATTTTATTTAACCTGTGAATAAATAGTACGTATAATATATAGTTAGAAGTAGACTCTAAACCTATTGTTTTCCGTTGTTTTTTATCAACTATAGTACTAAATAAATAGTTTTTTTCACAGGTTGAATAAAGATCGCTCTACTATTTTACAGGTTCTATATAGAAACTARAAATATCAAGCATTGTACAATTTCTAAAGGCTATTAACTACAATCATAGAATTAAAATATATGTGTAACAAAGATTTTGTTATATAATTAACAGATAAAGTAAAGTATATATATCTACTAGCAGATTGCTGGCTTTAATATTGAGAGATTCAATGTGAAAGAAATCAAAAATAAAAATGTGGGAGTGTCTAGAATATAGTGTAAGGAGTAAAACCACAACAATTAACAGGAATTTGCAATTCAGGAAATTACGTTACAAACAGTTTTCATTGACTGTCCAATAAGAGTGGTAAAAATTCTATTTTCAGAATGAAAATTTAAATAAAAGAGGAAATTACTAACTGTAATAGAAATGGAATATTTGAAAAATTAATTTGTCGAGTTTTAGTAAGATTTGGTAAGTTTAGTTTAGTATTTGGGTTTATGTGTAATAGCAAATTATGAAGAATAAGACTTATGTGAACGAAAGCCACAGTCTGATTACACATTGTTGATACGTTGACATTGACAGCTCAATGGTTTATCAAAAATGGATAAAACTCTTTATGCCATTTAACAAGCTATAACTAAAATCTCAACCAAAATCCTTTGACATCATAAAGGAAATAGCTTTTCTGGTTTTTGAAGGTGAGAAAAAGAAGCGTATAAAATCACTGAGGCAAGCCTTTTTGGGCATAACTTGTACACCTTAGTTGTAAAAAATTAAACTTAAACGATTAGTATTAGGTGTTTCCCCGATTTTTTAAGGAGAAGATTATATGGTCAGATAAGAGGAATACGTGTACGGGTTACGTTTCAATGAAATGCCAAATATCTTAACAAATGACTATCAAACGTCCATGAGGCGAAAGCTTCCAAAAGCCATAACGATATGGTGAGTGCAACAAGACAACAGCTTGCACAGCTTTACGTCCCACAAGGACTTCAGTCCAAAGGAATCCTCCTGATTTTAAAATTACAATATTCCTTAGCATTATTATTTGGTTGCAATGGTGTTTTTCGTAAAAATAATTTCTGGAAACGCTTCAATTCATGTACYCATATCAAATATTTTCAATCGACTGCAGTACAAAAATACAGACAGCTCTAACACTTGTAAGCTATAATATTTGACTTCAGACAAATCTCCTTCAATCAGGCCGTTATGTGTTGCTTGGAAGTGTAAGAAATGAATTTGCCGGTTATCGCAAAGCTAAAATAATTAGAATAAACATCTGAGAAGGAAGACACACAGGGCGACAACAAGACCATTTTGAGACCTCCACGAACGTCTACAAATTTGTCACGAACGTCGAACCTTCATCCTGTTTTAAAATATCTTTTACGTAAAGCGACGGGAACTTTTTCCATTTAATTAAGCCAATTTTGCGCTAAATATCTCTTATGGTCTTTCAAAAACCTACAACAAGGTCTAACTGAGCTGTTTTAGGAGACCAAATACTATATTTCGTACAACAACTGGGTTGTAATATTATAATATAATGCAAGTCAATACTTTGTCAAGACCAAAGGCACTGTATACTATTAAGACTTGTTCTCGCACACAGAATTCAAAAATAAATCAGAATTTTTAAGGCTCTTATCGACGTATTCATACTTACATCTAGATCAATGATGAACTCTGAGTCATCTAGCAGCTCTACAACACAGCGAATCATCTGTGGATTGGAGTTGCCCGTCCTCGCTATCTCCGAACCTCGAACACTATACATTCCACTTTGRGAAACAGGCCGAAATTTTCTCGACATTTTGAGCTCTAGGGCATCAAAATTCCTCGGGAATGAAGTTTATAGGAAGGTCTCCCTTAKGATTGAGAGGTAAGAAAGCGTCTTAGACCATGGATTGTTGAATTTTTCGTCTCCCGTGATCTCGTATTGTTTTGGTGCAACTCAAAAGAGCGATTGATGGTAAAGATTTCAAGCACGGCGAAATGATGAACATTCTGTCACGTGGGGTGGGGGGAAGGGGAAGGGAAGTTTGGTCACAGCCGTTTTCCGATCCGCAAATGCCAARGAATTTTTGGCATACTTTAAATTTAAATAACCCACGTTCTTGCCCTGGATCTTCAGTAAGGTTGCCTACACGTACTTTTAAAATTATTGTGGAGGATCCCGATAAACTGACCTTGGTATTTATTACGTTATGGGATACCTGTGGTAAATCACCATAGCGATATTCAGAAAAAATCGGAACGGCTTAAAAATATTTTACGTCAGTTTGAGAAAACACGACGAAAAATTAAAATTCCATGAGAATCTAAGCGTCTTACTGGGAAGTCAGATGATTCACGCCGTACACTGTTTAAAAGGATATTTAATAAAGATTAGATTAGTATTTGTAGCTTTTATAGATTATCTTTATAGATTTCGATGAATTAAGTGTTCGCATATAGGTTTGGTAATTATATTTTTTTATGTGTATATAGTTTTAATGGATTGTAAATTATTTTATACTTTATTTCTATTATATTGTGGCTGAAAAGCCCTGTCAAAGAGAGCTTCAATAAAGTATGTACGTTTGAAAGCCTGATAACAAGCGCTGCGTAGGTTGATGACTCAAGCTACCTGCGCGATAACCGAGCTTTCTCTCCTGCTTGTTTGTCTTTTAGCTCAATCACGTGACTTTTTTGGAGTTGACTGGGGGCAAACAAGCGGTTGACTGGGGGGCAACTAGCGGATGCTAAGTCAAAACATATCAAAATAAGTCCTCAAACTATTGTATTTGACTATTTTCACGACATCAAACCAGAAAACAAGAGATCAAAACAACCTCCAGGATTCTACAAGCCATCGAAAAAGAGCTATTACCAGAAGTGACGTCTATTGATAGCAACCTATACCTCTCTACTAGTCGATCAATCAATCGATCAAAGACTTTATTTAAACAGGGTGGCCCATTCTGCTGGCTGATATCCAGAGGGACCCTGTAAATAATAAATATATAATAAATAATTTCCTAATGTAAGTATAAATTAGAATAAATATGGATATTTCAAACATTATTATGACTGATCAAATTTGATATAATTATAGTTATTAAAAATTCATCAAAATATTAGATACCTAAAAAATGCAATTTCAAACGATGTTTGAATGTAGTTAAGGACGTGATCTCCTTTATCTCCTTAATTCGTTAGTTTATTAAATTCTAGAGTTCCAGAATATCTAAATATTCGCTTAAAATCTGTAGTCCTCTTCGCTCCTTTGGGAACATGACATAGGCCCTTTATCATTGTCCTCTCAGCCCTGCTGTTTTCTTTGCATGGCTTTTCCCGTCGCGTGTGATGTCCTCCTCCAAGACTGTAGTGGCTTTCCCACCTTTCTCCTTCTCCCTTGAGGGTTCCATTCCAACGTTTTGGTACATGCTAGTCTTTCCTTCGTAAAGTATGTTCAATCCACTTCCAAGACTCACCTTCACTACAACATCCATAGGTCTTTCGTCTGTTCTTTCCAAAGTTCTTTATTGCTGATCGTTTAAGGATATCTCACTTCCATCATACTCTGCAGGCACTCGTTTACAGCCATGCACCTGGAGTTCTCTACTTGGGTTTGATATGGAATAATAAGTGGAAATAAGGCTAAGTGTTTCCCCCCGATATTCCACTTCCATTCTGGAGGTCTGATGGGAATCTCTTGTCCCGGCTGATTCGGTTCGTCCAAGGATCATTTTTCAACTACCCAGATTAACCGTCGTAAAGTAAACAAAAGCGATGCCAAATCACTTCTATTTTTCTGTAATTAATTTTTCTATTTTTGTTTCGTTTTCAATTACATTATGGGAGACAGGCTTGGAAAGATAAAATGATAATTTCAAATCACGGTACTGCTTGTAATGTGGTTTCAGTATCCTGCAGAATTTCCCGCCAGTGAACGTATAGCGTGTCGTCCTACATTACACCCTTGTTATCAAACCAGACCAGTCAAAAAAATATCAAAAATCCTTTGTTGAAAGCGGTTATAACCGATTATGGGAACTAAATATAGAGATGATTAATTGATTAGAGGTATTTGTTTTTGATCATTTTAAAGTTAAAAGGCGCTATAGTAAGTCAATTAATTATTATGGATGAGGCTTTGTACTTGAGGATGACTATACTGAACCTCCCTCCTCTCCTCATCCCCCAAAGAACCTCGATCAGTGAGTAAAATGTAAGACTTTATGTAGCTCCATATGTCAACTCCCAGCCTCCCGAATAAAAGAATAAAAAGGTCATTATGCCCCGACGATGGCAAAAAATAGGGAAATGAAAAAATAATAAATGCAGTTTTATACATATAATTGCACGATTAATGTACAAATATTTGTTTTGTGCATTGTCAGGTTAAATGTCTTTAGTTTCCTTTTGAAAGAAGGTGAAGGTTGAAGGTAAGTGACTGTATAAGCTAAGTATTTTGGTAGATTGTTCCACATGTTACTGCCATTGTCATAAAAGCGATCTCGGTATCTACGAGCTGCACGGTGAAATTTGGTTTTGTCCTTGACTGAGCAGTAAAAACCAAGTTCACAACAAACCGTTGAAAATGAGTCGTAGTTAATTCGCGCTAATATTGAAAACCTCAGTAAAGCCAAGCTTGGCGGTATCACATAGTCCCAAGAGATCTTGTAATTTCTCATTTATTGTGCAAAGACTCTTCAAGAACCTTGAGCAAAGCACTCATCCTCCAATATCTCAATCTTGTCTCGGTATACGCATTAGTTCAGGCCCACATTCTATACCCACATTCTGTTGCGAAGTGGGATTCTTTGTGGGATTCTTTGGGAACTGGTCTATCTCTACGCCTACAAAAGTTGCAAAACAGGTGCGCTAGGGTCATATAATGCGTTACCAAAACTAGACGCATATCTGCGTGAACTCGGGCTTCTTTTTGAACATTGAAAAGTTTGAATGGAAAATGTGAAAGCACTGTTATCGATACAACACAAGATGCCACAAATAAGAGTAAAGTAATTGTTATTAATTGTCATTTATTTCTGACTACTGCTGTCAGTCAAAGTAGTTGTATTGTGCGAGACAGACAGTTTTGCAGTTTTGTTTCGATATTTTATTTTCTGGATAGTGAAAGTATTTTAGGTGGAACTTATTTGAATAACAAATGACAGAGATTGAGCAAACTCCAACAAGAAGTTTTAAAACGGTCGGTTGCAATAGAATTAATTTGCTTGTAAGAGCGTAGAAATGATTGGTAGAATAGAAGGGTAATTATAAAATACTCTTCCAGAGTCTCTCTCGTTTCAATATTTTCAAGATGGCGGCGAAAACGAGAGAGACTGTGGAAGAGTATTTTGGTTCGCAAAGCACGCTGGGTCCAAGTTTTCGGGACCCACAAGTCCTTTCGGTCATTGTAGCGTTACAGTCTCTAAGCGTGGAGGCGGACGAGCAAGAGACTGTGGAAGAGTCTACCTTATTTGGCGCTCTTTTATTATTTTAGGTGACGTCAACTAAATAGTTATCTAAGTTAGATACATTTATCTGACTATTCAACAGTTTGACTGAATGCACTCTAACCAGTTTTCAAGTCTGTTTTTTAGTCTTGATTTGTCCTAAATCTCCAGATTTTTGATTTCAATGAAAGACATCCGAGGTAAATTTGACTAAACTTGATATTGTATTGGATTATCTGTAGTTATCTTTCGTTTTTTGTTTTTTTTAAGTAAAAGAGATTCCAAGCCTAAAACTGTCGGCCTTGGAAAACTTTGTCGAAGAATCTTCCAAGAACAAAACTAGCCCCTTGGGGTGGGGGGTGAGTTGTGTACAAAATTCCTAAGTGGGAGAGTATACTCGCGCAAAGAAAACAATGTAGTGCATTTCGATTCGATTTCACTGCATGGTTTTTATTATGGGAGAAATTATCTTCATCTCGAATCCCCGATCTTATTTTTTCCTTTTAGCTTCATTCAAATTTTTTTCCCTGTGACTTCCGTCTCGGGAGCTCCACTTTTAGGCAGTGCCTAAATATATATATTATCTTTACTACTAGCTAGCGGGAACAATTAATTAGAATTCAGAACGAATATTTAACCGCTTCAGTGATTTTTACCCATTCCCTTTCGGTCCAGTCGCGTAGGCTTGCCCTCGACGACAAGGTATTTTCAATTGACTGTATATTATGTAATATATATTTGTACTTCGGTTATAATGTATCAAATTGAGCTGATCCTCGCAGTATATGAAGCAACTTATGCAGCTGCAAATTGACTTGTTCTACTTGTAATATGCATATATAAATAATCGATTATCGTTGAAGATTTTTGTTGAAGGATCAAATAATTTTTGAAATTGTATTTTTTTCAATGGCATTTGTACCTTTAATTATTATTATTATTATTATTTTTGATAAATACTGAAATTGTATTTGAATTGTGCTAAGGATTAAATTTATATTTTCCCCAAGATTTGGGATATTAAAAATTGAAACGTAAACATGCCAGTGTTTTGTACGAACAGATTAGATGTAACGAACAGATGAAAGAATATTCCCCGATATTCACTAATAATCGTTAAGTAGATTTGTTTTACTAGTTTCCGATTGCTTCACGCCTCTTTTGGAAACCGGTATTAGTATGTTATTGAATAGGTTAGCTTGTAAAAAATAAAGTTGATCTTATCTCATCTCAACTCAATCGCTATTTAGAAACTTAGGTAAAAAAAACGAGATGAATAAGCGATAACTAAAACGCCCCAACACTTACAGTTTCATGTTTATCGTGATTTCAGTAAAAATTTCCTAATTCGAAAATTTCCCCTTTCTTTTAAAACGTCTAAAAAGGTTTTTTCACGATTTATTGTTTTTGTTTAAGCCACCTTTATTAAATTAATAATTTTCTCTCTTGAAAACGTCTTATTCAATAGTGCCGCCTGGGAGCTCTCATATCTTATTGTAAATCTTTAACTGTATTTGTTAAACATTGTTTTGAATATTTTAATGTGATCGGACGGATWGGACTATAAAAAACATCATGCCATACATCGTAAGTGAAGAAATCTGTGATTATTAGATCCTTAAAGTCTCAACGACAACTAACTCACCATTTATTAATTGAATAGTAATATTTTTTGATAAAATTAGAGTGGAGGTATCAAGGCATTGTTAGTGAGTGTGTTGTTATGAGGGTCATATACGAAGCATTAATTAGTATAGAAACGTTTCGGTTGCTGAACTAAAATTACGAACGAAGTTTGTTGACTGTATTGACTCCCCTGAAGATGTGTTCTTGCCAATCAGATGTCATATTGTCAAAAATGGTGAGAGGGTTTCATGTCCTTCAGGTGCTTTGTGTCACCATCACTTTTAGATTAACGTCTTCAGAAGTTCTTCAAGTCGCGGTAGCGAACAAGTCTCTACATCGAACACCAGAATTCGGCTATGCTTACTTCGTTTTTCACCCAAAAAGTAAACTAGAGGTAGAAAACACTCGTCAGTTCCACGCTCCGAGCTACAAACCGTGTGCAGTTTCCTGTGTAAGGAACATGACTTGTTTATCGTTCAACTTTGGGAAAAAGCCTATCTTCTTTTACCATGGGCAAGCCCAGTACCTCTGTGAGCTGTTGCCGACTGATAAATACAACTCGTCGTCCAAGTATCAAAGTCAGAATCAACATTTTGACCACTACAGCATTAGGGTAAGTTTAATTTGGATATTGCTATTACGAGTTCGACGTAGATATATGTGCCTTTCAAACCTTGGTAATATTCAGTATCGAAACAACCTCTGAGCATATCTAAGTCAGAATATTTAGCGTCCTTGTCGAACGTCAGCTWATTTGAACTAAGAATCTTTTTAACATGATTCATTCTAAAACTTTCTAACCTTTATTTTGACTTCCAAGTTAAAAAAAATCGATTTTTTGAAATCTTTTCCCAACCCGCATAGGCTGATATTTAGACAACCAAAAAAGCAGAACTTTTTTATGGTTTCTTAATAGTAGTCTGCAAGAAAATTTATCATAGAAATTGAAAAGTGTTTCATTATTATTTCTTAGTCAAACTGCAGTAAGTTCCCATGTCTTCACAATTTCACTTGTATTGCAAACTACACGCAAGACACGTATGAATGTTTGTGCCCGAGTACTGGATATATAGGACAACACTGCGAAGGTAGGGGTTGTTGTTTCGTAAGGTTGTACTTCTCGATATGGTCCGATTGATAAAGGCAGGAAGGAGGGAAGGAAGTAGTGATGGAGCGGGGAGGGAGGGAGGGAGGGAGGGAGAGAGTAGTATAGTAGGCTTTCTCAGTATGTCGCATCAAACCCTATCTAAACTTTAACTCTGCTTTACGATTCTGATAATTCTTGTATAAATAACTACTTCATATATTATTCTGATGCTTGTGGGAATTGCTCCCATCATGCAGCTGCTACTGCATGCGACTCCTTCTTCACTCCTTCTTCAAAAACGGGCTGCGCGTACACTCCTAGCTTACAACAATACAACAGTACACATTTCCTTTTATGTTAGATTACATTAAATTATATATTTAGATCATATTGAAAAGAAAGAAAATACTTATTTGGTCAAATAAATAAAGCTAAATATAAGTTGTAATGAAAGGAAATAAATAAATCATATAGTTTCCTAGTTAGACCCTAGCTTGACGCCGATTTTTCTCGGTCGTCCGTTTTTTTGGCTCCAAGCTACATCTATTCATATATATTTTTGGAGGGTAGTAGGTTAGAAATTGTAAGAGGTTATTGCGTTTCTCTCTTGAAATAAAGTTATTGTATAGTATTGTATAGAGAAGAAGGAAGGAATGTTATGATCATGAAAAAACACTCTGAATTGAATTCGTTTAATTGACAGATATTGATGAATGTACTGCAGGGCAGCATGACTGTAGCCCCAATGCAACTTGTACCAACGTCATTGGCTCATACAAMTGCACGTGCAAAGATGGTTACTTTGGCAACGGCACGACGTGCTCCAAGATCATAGGTAAGTTAATTAAGTTAATTCTGTTGCGATTTCAGTTTGTAGTTTTTTCCCTTGCCTAGTTTTAATTTCACTTTTATCCGGCCTGAATTTGGACATTAGTACGTTTTAGTATAATATATATACACAGGTGATTATTGAAAATCTCGCGCGCTGATTGGTCGAGAAACTCAGATTATCACACGATAATCACCTCCAGCGATAATCCAAAATGGCGGCCAGCCGCTTTGTTGCTGTTTCCTAATTTTAAATGTGTCTTTTATCTTTTTTTTCTTCTTTTTTTTGAAAGAATCACCCATGTATTTATACTAAAACAATTATTTACCTCACTTCGTTTCGGTTATTATTCCCCGATATTCACTTCGCCTTCGGCGAATAATTGTATGTAGAGTTCTATTATTCTAGTATTCTACACAGTTGTCGCTTTTGTCTTGAAAACAAAATTGTGCTAGCAAACAAAACAAAACAAAAAAAGATTAAGATAAAGACATGTAGCAGGAGGTGAAAGGGATCCATATCCATAATTTGCCAAATAATTTGCCCGTTTAATGGCACTAAATGAGGGAGGGAAACCACCCCCTCAAAAACGTTCTACTGAATCTGTGTGCACGTGGCGGGAAACATTGAAGATCAAACACGCACGCATGTGTATTGGCGGGAAAACTCTGCAGATCAAACACGCACGCGTGTGTATTGGCGGGAAAACTCTGCAGATCAAACACGCACGCGTGTGTATTGGCGGGAAAACTTTGAAGATCAAACACGCACGCGTGTGTATTGGCGGGAAAACTTTGAAGATGAAACACGTACGCGTGTGTATTGGCGGGAAAAAAGTGCATGGTCGCTAGAGATAGAAGTGGGGCGTTATAAAAGGCCGTATAGAAAACCCGAAGACCGTATATGTACTAGGCGTGAACTTAGGGAAATGGAGGACGAGCGACACTTCCTGGTGAAATGTCCGCGCTATGAGAGTCTGAGAAAGAATTTGTTTGATGTTATGGAAAGCAGAAATTTAATGAATTTWWAAAAAAAAGAGTGAAAATTATATTTTCCAGAATCTGTTTAACCCTCCAGAAAAAATCCAAAGCCTCGTTTGCAAATATGTGCACGAGTGCTTTCAATTAAGAGGACAATAACATAACTATTTATCATATATAATAAGATCTTGATTGATAAGATTTTGATTGAATGTAGCTTGTCATTCATTCTATCATCTTGTTAGACAAATGGCTGAAGATCAACTCCGATCCTGTCTGCTTTGGAGCTCAAAATTCATCATATGGGAGTTTTTCTATCCAAGGAAATGGAGCAGTTACGACAGTCAAGTTGGTCCATAGATCTGGAAGTGTGTCATGTACTAATAAGTACGAATCAGCCCGAAGCAACTGGGGGTGTGCACCTTTCCGAAAGTTTCTCCGACTCGTTGTTCACTATCATAACCAACAACGCGGACCAAAAGATTCTCCCTCATGACGAATATATCTATGATCGGAGGCAAATGAAGTATCGCATTCCTGGGTTTACTTCTTTGCCTCCTGAATTGATATTTCCAAACTTTACAACACCAATGTTTGTTACCGCTGGCCAAGAGTTTTGCATTTGGTTTGGACAGGATCTCATGAAGTATGACTATAACAATGAAGGAACATCGTGTACTGATGTCTTCATGTATGGATCGTTTGAATTTTAAATGACTTAATGTCGGAAGCTAACTCAAGGTCACCTGGAGCTTTAGATCCCGTGACCAGCTGCAGGACTATGAACAGACTTTGATTAGGATGCAAATAATCTATATGTAAAGGCATGTCTGAATTAATTCTTTCTTCAAGTAGATATCATTCTAGAAACACAGGATCAATTTTGACAAATATTCTACAYTAATGTGGATTTGCTTCCAAATCGTCTTCTTCCAGTAGACGATCGGTCTAGAACCAAAATATAGGGAAGGAACTGGAATACGAGATTGCCATAACACCTTGAACAATAATTCACGTGTCTCTATTCGAACTGGTCCCACGCGTGCGAATATATAAGAAAACTATTAGCATATCTGATCACTTCTCTTCCGACCTGCTAAGGCCATGCAGTATCTTTTGCACTTATGGGTATTTTAGTTGTCCTCGCTGTACTCCCCCTCGACCTGCGGTTGCTCTACCTCTATTTTGTTATTTTCCCGACCCCCCGTCCCTTGCGTTGTTGTGGTTCTTTGGAGAACTCCGCCAGGTCTGCCCCATAACTTACATATGAGTACAGTGGGACCAGTGAAAACGAGTGTTGTAGAATGACTTCACCTCGTGCAAAACTGAGTGGTGCCACGAAGCCTTTGAAAATTCAGTGACCAGCGAAAAAAAACCCTGTCCGCCATTGCAATAAAAATATACAACTCATTAGTTATGGTGTCACTGTCGTGAGAGATCTTTTCGACACTCGAAGATAAATTTCGTATCTCCGCGCCCCCATGTAATATCCTCTATATATATCTATATAATTANATTATTTCTTAATTGGACAGCATGGAGTCCTATTACATATACTAATACCAATAAACTACACATTTTCAACATTGAGAGTTTTTCGTGTCATATGCACTTTAAAATCGTTCTAGACCCGCCACTGAATAGGCCTCACACTGTGAAATAGGGATGTCTGTTGGGATAGCTTGTAAATTTCAATTAAAATGTTTGTAAAAAATAAAAAATAAAAACTAAATAAATAAATATATATATATATACAACCCATTAGTTATGGTGTCACTGTTATCGCCCTCCTATAAGGAACGTTTCTTTACATTTGGTTCCCTGGAAATTCATAATTCCAAGAGAAAAAGTGACGCCTCAGTTTTGCAACAACGACAAAAAAATCGATTCTGATTGGCTGACATTTTCTGTCAGATCAGCTGGCATAGCCGTAAGAATAAGATCCTTTAGTACGAGTATCGGAAATTCTTGAGAGAATGTGATAAAATGGATAGAGAAACTTGGTTTATTCCCGCGAGGAGTTAGATGGAAAAACATTACAACCGAAAAGGAAACATGGATGCATAAGAACTGTGTTCTTCGTTGAGTTACTGGACGCGCAAGGGAATATTTTTAAATACGATTTATTTCTTTTGCAGTTTTCAATTTCAATTTCTGAATTTCAAATGATAATTATCTGATATAATTGTCATACAAAACATAATGATTTATCATTTCAGACCGCATGTCATTCCCTAGAGTATCATTTCTTTGTTTGGCGTTTGCGTATGAGAAGACACATGAATGAACAAATATAAATCAATATTGGAGGGTTTTCCTCTGGGTTTACCTGTTTTCAGTCCTGACTTCGATCAGCCCAGAGGTTGTTTCAGGGTTCAATTTGTGAGTTAGCCATGCCCTGACTTAGAACAGCTCAGAGGTTGTTTCAGGGTTTGATCTGTGAGTTAGCCATGCCCTGACTTAGATCAGCCAAGAGGTTGTTTAGCCATGCCCTGACTTAGATCGGCCCAGAGGTTGTTCCAGGGTTCGATCTATAAGTTAGCCGTGCCCTGACTTAGATCAGCTCAGAGGTCGTTCCAGGGTTCAATCTACGCGCCATGCCTTGACTTACATTTTATTTGCCCTGACTCTTCTTCCTACTAATTCATAGCCTAGGTTCCATGCAGTCTCTCTCTCGCTCAAGTGCCTCTCGACCGTAGGTTTCTCTCGCGAGAGAATGAAACCTATGCCCGTGAGATACTGAGGCGAGAGAGCCTCTGTACCTAGGGAAACTATATGATTCATTGTTGAGACTAAAAAAATATATATGAAAAATACTTTATCTTAATAGTAGAGTGCAAACAATTAATCCGTGAAACACTTATTACTTAATAGTACGAAATAGTGCTAGTTAAACAATAGAAAACAATGGAATTTGCATGAAATTGTGCTATTTAGTATTACTAAAGTTTCACGGTTATATTGTTTGCACTCTAGTGGATTTACTACTGGTAATGAACCAAGGTACTATTTTGTCAGTGGAACCTCTTCTGGAATCAGGCATCCAGGGCCAAATGCAAGGAAATAATATGGTGTCAATGCAAAGCATACACTTGTTCGCTTGTTCTGTCTTTCTTTTCTTCTTACATCCAGGATAGCGACAATTTTGCAGACTTAATTTATAAGAAAATACTGTAAATTTTGGCCCTGGATGCCTCGTTTTCAATCAGTGTCAGTATTAACCCGTTGAAACGTTCAGTCGAAACTTGCGTGTAACGCCGTTGCGACACAAGTTTTGCAGGTTACACGGCACAATTTAGGCTTTGTGACTTTCGTCGCAAGATAGCTTTACGAAAAATAGAACTGGTTTTTGGTTGTCGTGCAATCGAAAATTTTGTCAAGAACAAGTTTCAGAACAAAATTTCGCCGTGTAACTTCCCGTGAAACTTGTTTCGCAAAGCCGTTACACACGAGTTTCAGGTAAGAGTCTCAATGTGTCCAGTTGATCTAGAGTAGTGACGTAGGAATGACGTCACTGCAAAATCGAGGTGTCATGAAGCCTGTGAAAGTCGACCAGCAAAAAATCAAAAAATGTCCACCATTGCAATTAAAATATAAAACTCATTAATTATTGTGTTACTTTTATCAACCTCTTATTCCAGAGCGTACGTCATTTTTTCCATTTGGTGGCCTAGAAATCCATGAATTCAAGAGAAAGAATGACACGCCAGTTTTGCACATTTTCTGATTGGTAACAGTACCTTAATAAGCCTGAAGCGAGATGACGTTTTACCCCCGACTCTATACCATAATAGTTTYTAAAATTCTTTCATATTAAAATTTTTGATTCCTTAGAGAATGCAGGAACGATAGTCGCAATTAAAGAACAAAAGCAGTGTGAAAAGGATTATGGTCTAGAGACGGGAGTAAAACGTCATCTCGCTTCAGGCTTCATTGCTCTATAGAGCGTTTTCACTCACGTATTGGTGTACCAAACAATAGAACCTTTTTGCAGAGTTTTTGCATAAAAATAGAGTTCAATAGCCCGAGGCTAGAAAATGTATTGTTTTGGTACACAAAGATGGCCTCTGTGGCGTCACGTGTAAACGCTCTATAATATAATCACCTCTATATAACGCACAGACGTTTAGCAAGGTGCCAATGGGGTTATTAGTTAACTGACAACTGGCCAAAAAAAAAAAGTAATACATAAAATAATGATAATAGAGTGCAACAATATATCCGTGAAACACTAATTACTAAATTGTTCAAAATAGTGCTAGTTAAACAAAAGAAAACAATAGAATTAGCATAAAATAGTGTAAGTTACTAATATTTCACGGATATATTGTTTACACTCTAAATGACAAATAACCTAAAATTAGTAGTTAACAGATATTTTATTATTTTGGTTAATATTATGGCCAATGCCATAATAAAAAAACTAGTAGTTAACTGACAATTGGGTATACCCCCATTGGCACCTTCATTTAGATCCCGGCAAAATCACTATACATTCTTAGTTTCATAGTCCTGACCTTTATAGTGAACACCTCAACATTACAGACACCTCTATCTTACGGACACCTCTATGTTACGGACATCTCTATATTACAGACACCTCTATATTACAGACACCCGTCTATATTACAGACACCTCTATATTACGAACACCTCTATATTACAGACACCTCTATATTACGAACACCTCTATATTACAGACACCTCTATATTACNGACACCTCTATATTACGAACACCTCTATATTACAGACACCTCTATATTACGAACACCTCTATATTACAGACACCTCTATATTACGGACACCTTATATTACAGATACCTCTATATTTCGGACACCTCTATATTTCGGACACCTCTATATTACGGACACCTCTATATTATTTGTTTCTTCCATTTGATGTGAGTAGACCAGTTTCGAATTCCAAATTACCGCTGTGTTCCTTGATTACAGACTCATTTACGCAGGGTTAGCCTCGAATCAGTGTTTAAATATTCACAAATACCAACGGTAAAGTAAAGAATGCACAACTTCAACAATACAAACATTTTGAAACTCGACAGGCCTTGACTGGAACACGTGAATATTGTGCACAAACTCGAGGCTAACCCCGTGCAAATGAGTCTGTAATCAAGAAACACAGCGGTAATTTGGAATTCGAAACGGGTCTATTGCTGTACTTATGCTGTATGTGACGAATTCCAATAAGCTAAACTCCACGGTGGCTCCACGGTGTCCGTAACATAAGGTTCCAATGTATTTATTTTTTAGAATGTGTGGTTGTTTTTCTTTTCTTTCAGGATGAATTTGCAGTATAATTTACATAATAGAATTTGGAATAYGGATATTCATTTTCACATGTCATAGTATTCGTGACCTCTTGTTTTTCTATACAACACGCAGCAACAGTATTTCATCTTCACACATGAAAATACACAACCATCCTTAAAGGGAATAACAAAAACGCAAAGTTCAACAAACACTCGAGCGTGAGGGGGTTAGGATGGCGTGGTGATAAAACGCCTCAGAGGTCCGGGACTCCAATCCCAGTCGCCCGCCCCATGTGAGCTGAGCTGGTTGGTTCTCATTCTGAGTCTGAGGGTTTTTCCCGACCTTCCTGTTTTTCCTCCCTCCCTCAAATCAACCCTAACTAATTCAAACTGGTTAGAGCTGTGCTCCAGGGTCATACATGAATTGTATAGCAGCTGCCAGAGGCGCCTTCACATGCTTTCAGTTCGACCCCGTTGAGCTGCGCCACTGCCTGTACTTGCAATGGTGATTAGCGATGACAAGTTACTACGGAAATTAAGTACACGAACGAACATATTTTTTTCATCCATCACAGCGGGGTGGATCCAGGGGGGTTTATTGGGTGACTAGCAACCACTTTTAAAGTTAAATAATAAGAATAAAGGACAAGGTAAGACCTAAAAAGGACGCTAGGTGATACCTTTAAAAGTCACCCCCCTTGAGATCCTTTCCATAAAGGGTTCTTCCTATATGAGAGGGAAACCAGAGAACCTGGAGAAAACCCATCATGTCAAGGGGGAGAGAAAAACAAATCAAACAAACTCACATCACATATGTGGCCGCGAATATGCGACGTTGCAAGCGATAATCTTGCTAAAGATCGATATCCCTTTCTATTCCCTTCTCAAAGTTCAGTTTCTACTATTTCAGTTGCTATATTCCAAATTTCAGCTTCTATATTCTAAATTTCAGCTTCTATATTCCACATTTCAGTTTCTATATTCCACATTTCAGTTTCTATATTCCACATTTCAGTTTCTATATTCCAAATTTCAGTTTCTATATTCTAAATTTCAGTTTCTATATTCCAAATTTCAGTTTCTATATTCTAAATTTCAGTTTC